TGTCTGAGGCATTTGGAGTAAATTCAGGTGGGTGGAGTTAAGACTTGGTAGTTTTGTTTGGGTTTGAAACCAAAGGCCGTGAGATAAGCACTGTGTAAACTAATGGTCTGCTGACTGCTGGAGTGTTAGAGCTGGTGGAGTCGCAGGGCAGGGTTACCAGTGGGTAAGGATGATACTCTGCTTGCCTGATAGGTATTCTTCCCATTCTTCAATCCAGCTGCTGGCATGTCTTCTTGAAAACATGCAAGAATGTGAAATAGCAGTTCATAGGGTATGGGAGGGAAAGCTATCGGCAAAAGGAGGTCTTGGCGAGTTATGACAGGAATTTCGAGTTTGAGAGAGTCAACAAAATGCTTTTCAGCTATACACTTTGAGAACGAAGTAGTTGCCAGTCTTGGCTGAAAATGTGCATTTTGTGTCAGAGAGATAAAAAGGGGTAACCCGTGCTTTGGGAAGTAACTAAGCACAGACACAGACGTGCAGGAGGACACAGTGGTGACCCTGCTTGGCGGGACAATATTGACTCTGTAGGCCAGCACAGAATTCCTGCAAGGTCTTGAGACAGCTGTCTTAACTTGTTCAATTAAAATGGCTAAAATGCTTTTCTTCTTGGTTTAGGGATGATTCCTGTGTCCAGGGATGCAGTGGAAAGGATCTACAGCTATACCTGTATTTCCAGTTTGTATTATGTTGTTACACATTCTTGCAGACCCTTTTCTATACTGAGAGGAAAATTATTTTCAAAGTATGCTAAATCTGCAAGCCTTGTTTACCCAGAGCAGAAAATCCTCAGTTTTTGTGGATTAGCTACAAAACCATTTCTTCTACTTGTTTTGGGGGTGGACAGCCATACCTTAATTTTATGCTGTGAATCATTGAAGCTGCTTTGAGATCAAGCATGTTGCATACAGCAGACTGTACATTTAACTAGTGCTGTCTAGACTGGGGAACTTCTGTTTTTATTTCTAAATCAAGTTAGTTCCCTCCAATTAATTTAACTGTTGGTAAGGAAGGGCTTTTTTAACTGAAGTTGATAGTAGTTATGTCAAGGTAAGGCAGTAGAAGAGAAAATGAGCCATTCTTCATTAAATCAGGCCTTATTTTGAAGCAGATTTTCTTAAAGAACTAAACTGTTGGGGTTTCGCCTGGGCAGTTGCTGCAGATTTCTGCAAGCACGGCTCTTTACTGCTCAGCAGAGGCCATAGCTTCGCGACGCACCGAGCCAGCAGCAGAGACCCCAGCATTATTCCCGGCGGCTGCTGCCCGCCGGCGCGCACTGCGCGCCGCTCTGGACACAGGAGCGGGGCAGATGCGTTTGAACCCGGCCGAGGGACTCGTGCCTCGCAGGTGCACTCTCAGGTTTTCCCCTCCTCGGCAGGAGTCACTTGCCTGTGGGGGAGATGTGCAGGACGCAGCCTGGTGTTGAGAGATGTCGCCCCTGCTCCTCTTGGAGCGGAGAGCAGTGCTCCGGTGTGTTGCTCTGTGGACTCGTGGTGCCTTTAGTGGCGACCGTCTAGTTTTTTGCAGTTTAGCGGGGGTCGGTCTGGCCGTGCCTCCCGCTACGCCACGGGCAGGGGGAGAGACTCGTACAAGTGGGAGCACCGCTGCCGCCCCGCCGATGGGCGCCGGGAGCACTGCCAGTTCTCTCCGCACCGGGGACTTCCCTCCGGGCGCCTCCCGCCCCGCTGCCTGCCTCGAGCGCCCGCCCCAGGCAAACGCCGCCGACTCGCGCCCCGCCGTCGGGCGCCCCGCGGGAGGACGGGTCGTGTCCGCGGCGCTGGCGGCGGCGGGTGCACCCCGGGGTGCCGGGCCAGGGTTGCCGCCGCCTCCCCTGAGGAGCGCCGCCCGCGCCGCCGCCCTCCCCCACAGCCGGCGGCCCTCCCTTCCGCGGCTTCTCCCGTCTCGGCTGGCCCAGCCCACGTTTTCCCTCTCTCCCCTCCCTCCCTGGTCATGTGTCGCCTTTTTTGTTTGCAGTGGAAACAATTTCTCGCTCTTCGGCTCGCACCGAGGCTGACCGCTGCCCGTCGGGAGCGCGGGGTGGGCGGGGGGCGGGAGACGGCCGGGCCCCATGCTGGCGGCGGAGCCCACTGCACCGGGACCCCCGCGGCACCCTCGGGGCTCGGGCTGAGCGATGCCCGGCTCCGTCAGATGAAAGTTTGCACCACAGCCATGAAGGGACCGCGGTGAAGCCGCCGCCCCCCGCCAGGTGAGTTGGTGTCGGCGGTGGTGTCGGCGGGGACTGCGCAAGGAGCTGTGGCGGGCCCGCCTGGGGGGCGGCGCGGTCCCGCCCGGCTCGGCTCGGCTCTTCTCTGTTCGCCCCGGCCCCGCGGCCGACCCGCGCCACAACTTGGCCAGGAGTTGGTGCGCGGCCGCAGCGTGCGCGCCGCCGCGTCCCCACCGAGCCCGTCCGGCCGCGCCGCGGGGCCGCTCTGGCCCGGAGAGGTCCCGCCGGGGGCTGCGAGCGCCGCTCGGGCAGGACTTTGGGGCACGCAGGCAGGCGGGCGGGCACGCACGCACGCACACACACCATACACACACACCATACACACACACACACATACATACATACATACATACATACACATACACACACGCGTGTCCGTCAGGAGGGGCCCGGGAGAGGAGAGGCGAGGCGCGGCGCGGGAGAAGTTGTGCTCCGTGTGGGCTGGGCGGCGGGCCGGTGACATCTGGCCGGCATTGGAGGTATGCGCGCCGCCGGCCGCCCGCGCCCGCCCCACTGGAGCAGTCCCAGTCTCCTAGCAACGCCATTGATTGGCTGCGGCGGGGGCCAATGGGCGCCCGCCCCCCGCATTTCCCCCCTCCGCCGTGCGAGCAGTACGGTGTGAACATGGAGCGGGGCGGGGGGTGCCGCGGTGAGCCTGCCCCCGGCGCTGCGGGCCCCCGGCGGGCGGCTCCGTGAGCGTGTGTTGGAGCACCCGCGGCTGGCGGCGGGTTAAAAATGTTGGTCCAACTGCGGGCTCTCATGTGACCGGCGCTCCTTTGTCTGGCGGCGGGGCGCCGCGGCAGCCGCCGCGGGCCTCCTTAACAGAGTCGTGTGACCCCCCCCCCTCCCCCGCCCCGCTCCGCTCCAGTCCCCGGGTGCAGCCGCGGCCGAGCCCCGCCGCACGGGGGGTGTCAGCTTCTGGCAGTCCTCGCTCCCGCCCCGTCCGCAGGCGCCGGTGGCCGGTACGAGGGGGCTCGGCGGGGCAGCCCCGTCACCCCCGGCGTCCGTGAGGACTGGGGAGGTGAAAAGAGAAAAAAGGGATGGTATGATACGGCCCTCTGGGAGGATACTGGCAAATAAGCAAATTAAACAGAAAGAGAGCAGCATGTTGTCATAGCAACAGTGCAATTAAATTACTTTACTGTCAGCCATCATAATTTTCTGTTTAGAAGCTCCTGGGACGTAACTTCCATTTGGAGTCAAAGTTGAGTGTGTGGCGTAGGTAGGCGATGCCAGTGCCCCCGGACACCAGCGATACTGGTGTTTACCTTCTGGCTGTGCTGGATGCTGTTTTGAAAGCTAGGAAGTGGGACCTACGTAAGTTTGGCCTCCCGGTGTTTATATCTGCCTCGGTATTTTTTTCCTCTTCCAGATACTTGTGTAAAACCACACGTTTGCTGAGCTTGTTGGGTGATGGTGTGTGTTAACAAGCTTCTGTGCATGAAAGTTCTGTATGTTTCTTTTTAGTCATGGTTGCTTTGGTGTAAAGTGCTTATAGAAAGACCTGAGGAACTTCTAATTTTCCGTTTTTACCCTTTTGTAACAGCTAAAACTCCATCATTTCTCCTTCTCAGAATGGATGTCCTTCTCTTTTCTTTCCTGTACATTGATGTTTGTTCTGTTGTTACCTGTAGGTTTTTTTTTTCCCCCTTCGTTTACAGTATTGACTGTCTGACCACATGACTTGATGGAACTGCTGAAGATACTGTTTTGGTACAGGGAATCATTCTGCTCTTGTTCAACATTTGTGCAGGAAGCTTCGTAGTTTTAAAATCCGTTATTAACTCTCCTCAGTTTTATTTCACTGCTGTTCACATTTCCAGACCTAAATCCTGGCAGTTTTACTGTAAGGAGAAGCTAAGAGAGTCTGAGTCTTGCTTCTGAGGTGGATTGTTTGGCTCCTGTCTGCTTCTCTTGAGGTGGGGAGGTGCTCCGTTTCACGCAGCTTCAGAAGGGCTCAAGTACTCCCGAATGTTACTGAGTGCAGGTGTCCCCACTAGGCCTACTGGTGCAGTACCCTCTGCAGCTCCTCCACCTCTCCCTTGCCGCTGATGGGCATCCCAGCAGTCTTTCTGCCTGTTTTCTGCCACGTTTGAAATACAGCTCAGCTTATGTAAAAATCTTCTCTGTTTACGTACATTTTTAAAGTGCTCTATTCCTCTGGCGCTTGTTTCCCCATGTCTTGGCCCTGGTCCCAAAACTTCCATGTGCTGCTTTCCCTCCTCCCTTCTCCTACCCCAGCTGGTTTTGAAGTTCTGCTGTCATTTCTGACTTTTTCTGGAGCTGTAGTCAGATTGGATGCTTGTCTGCTCAGCCTTTAGCCAGAGTGACTTTAAACACGGTGCTGTTGTATTATTGTCCTCAAAAGTGGAACAGCTGAATTTAAAGCAACTGGGCTCAAACCCCTCTATTTTTTATTTAATATTTTTCTTTCTAGTTCACATGGTTTTTGAAGTGGTACAACAGGAATGTTCAATGATTTCATATACACATTCATCATTAAAGGGATTTGCTGTGTGGAGCTTCATGTACCTGAAGAACTGAGGTGTATTGGGGTTCATTCCATTGATTGAAATTTCTTCCCTTGTCCTGACTTCAGCTTATTTCATTCTACAGTTGTGGATGAGTGTTTAGTGAGTCTGTCATTTTTAACACAGGTGGCAAAAGGACGAGTGAGCAGTTAGGGAAAAGCTAACAAAATGTTATGCAGTATCTTTTTATGAGCTAACTTTTCTGTCTATTTCTTTCTCCCTTTCCTTTGGATTCACTCTCCCAGGAGTTGCTGTCTAAATGGGTCCAGTCATGCCTCCCAGTAAGAAGCCAGAGGGCTCAGGAATTAGTGTTCCCAGTGGATTGAGCCAACGTTACCAAGATAGTGATTTATCCAAGGCACTTCATGATGACGAAGACCTAGATTTCTCTTTGCCTGCCATCAGATTAGATAAAGGGGCCATGGAAGATGAAGAACTAACTAATTTGAACTGGTTGCACGAGAGCAAGAACTTGCTGAAAAGCTTTGGGGACTCGGTGTTAAGGAGCGTTAGCCCCGTTCAGGACATTGGTGATGACACGCCGCCATCTCCTGCCCATTCTGACATGCCCTATGATGCCAAGCAGAACCCCAACTGCAAACCTCCTTACTCCTTTAGCTGCCTCATATTTATGGCCATTGAGGACTCGCCAACCAAAAGACTGCCCGTAAAGGATATATACAACTGGATCTTGGAACACTTTCCATATTTTGCAAATGCACCCACTGGATGGAAAAATTCTGTGAGACATAATCTATCCTTGAATAAGTGTTTTAAGAAAGTGGACAAAGACAGAAGTCAGGTAAGTTTGGAACTATGGAAATTGAACTGGCTCTGAAAATATTGACCTGCTAATCCCAGAACGTGTCTGTAACAGTGAAATGCAGAATATGCAATGCTGTCCCTGGTAACGTAATTCATGAAATTCAGAGAGCCAACATTTCTTCAGTGTGGCTCATTCTGTTTTTATTAAATTCATTGTCTAGACATCTGTAAGAAAGTACTAGGGGTGTGTGTGTGTTTTTTCTTCCCCCCCCAGCTGGTGTCTTCATGCATAGTGGTTAAATATTGGTTTTAGTTATCATGCTGTGGTAATGGTTTCCAGCTATACTAGATGAATGTAATCATGTTATAAATAGGCTGCTTGCTGTTCTTGGCTTATATGAGTGTATAGTGAAAGGGTATGCCTTATGTAAGAGTCCATTGCTTTTTTCCCTGGTCTGTGCTGTAATCTGAAAAAACTTCCCTTTCTCTTAAACAGACAGAAGTAGTTCTGATTTTAGTTCCATTTCAGACAGGTTTTAGAGAAACTCTTCAGAGAGAGGAGATTGGTCTGGCATCAAAGATGAAACTTACCATTCACAGGAATTTCAGTCATTTTCTTCCTGGGCTCATGTAGCTTCTGTGACTGTTGCAGTGGCAGAAGCCTGTGGTGCACGTTTCTGATTTTGAGTCTCTGTTGTCATTGCCTTGTTTCATTGCTGAATCCTCAGCAGCGTCTGCAGGAAGAGGCTGTGAGGAGGGAACAGGGAAGCGAGCCTGGCAGGGGAGACAGCCCTTTGCAAAGCCTTCTGCTGCGTCAGTCTGCCTGGGAGCAGGTATCAGGTTCTGAAGGGGACCGTCTCAAGAAGTAGTGCTCTGGATGAATCTTTGGCAAAGTATGAGTATACTTATAAAAATATCAGCCTGCAGATTAATTTCACAGGCCTTCTCACAGGTTAGTGAAATAAATAGGTGGTAAAATCACATCACTGACTGTTTGTCTCTGAAATTGGCTGACAGTCAGAAAATGGACACTCTCTTCTGGTAGAAACAATAGATGCACTCAACTTTTGTGTTTCAGTGAAGTAAATGCCAGGATTGTCTTGTAAATGGTAACCCTGAAACTAGACTTCTGTTGGTGGTGCTGTTCTCCCTGTTTTGTGTGTAATTTAACTTTAAATGCTGTGGAGTAGGAGCTCAAGTAACTCTAAAGCGAGAGTCATATATTACCCTAAAGTAGCAACTCTTCATTTTAGAGTTCTTAACTGCCTTTTCTCTGGAGCTTTCCTTTTTTTTTAAATGATCGACATTTTTATTCCCACAGCTCCCCCTTTTTTTGGATATTATTCCGTAGAACCCACGTATTGCTGATCACACTCTGTGTATTGGTATTTTTATCAGTTAGTTGCTGTGGAAGATTGTGTATGGGATTTAAAAAAAACCAAGAACAAGTTCCTGAACTGGATCTTGTTTTGTGTAAGCCATAATCTTAATTCTTGTTTGGAAGTGAGACTATAATAACAAGTAACATGCCAGACTGCTAGGATCCAGTACCAGACCATAAGAAACCTTCACACAATACATTTAAGACACCCACAAAACGCTGTAACTGGCAAGGCATGTGTTTAGCATTGCCATTTGTGTTCTGTTCTGTGCCTCTTCCTCTGTTTACAAGTTGACTGTTTAGATTACAGCTTCCTTCCTATGAGGAACTTGTCTTCATGTCTATCTGTCAAATATCCGGCAGTCTGCTGAGCTCGCATGAACAATACCACGACGTGCTGCTTCTCTGCAGGGAAGTGGCAGAGCACAATGCATGACTAGTCACCTGCCTCTCGAATCTGTGATTAGCCATGGTTACATAGCTAGACAGCAAGGTGTGGTGGGAGGCCTTGCCTGTGTGAATAATGAGGTGGGGTTTTACTCATTCCTTGAAAATCCCAGGTTATGAGGAAGAATTTCTTCCACCTCCTGGATATGCTAATAACTGCAGGTGGCCAGCATTACGGTGAATGAGATGAGAATCTCAGCCATACAACACAGCAAGGCAGGTCATTTAAATCTCCTGCTAGGTTTTTCTCATGTCCTGGACAGGGGATGTGGCAGACATAGTCCTGAGTGCAGAACTGCCACTTGGTCAGAGTTGCTGAATCAGGTGCTTGACAGCTAATTGTGGACTTGGAAAGCAGTAAATGTCAACTGCTGGCTTTGAAAATACCTTTGTGTGTGTGCACATGCACACTTGGGGTTGATTCGAGTACCTTGCAGCAAGCATCTCTGCTGTTCAGAAGGGGGGTGTCCATCTGAAGGGTTCTCTGGTTTTAGGCTGGGGCTTGGGGCAGTGGAGCAGGGAACTCTCCTTTTTGTGGAAACCCTTCTTGCTGCTTCTGCCCCTTTGAAGCCAGATTCCACAAATTGCAGGTTTGGAGTCTGCCTGCCTTACTGTTTTTATGTGGGGGAAAAAAAGCATTTAGCAAATGGCACGTTACAAAATGCTAACAAGACAGGCTCTGAAACATGTACAGTATGGGGGGAAGGAGTTAATCAGTGCTGGGAATTGCAGGCATTTGCTGTTTGATGTTCATTGACACATTGTGAAAAGCTAGAAGCTTTTCCTCCCTAACTTTTGCTTTCCAGTGTTCGTTTGTGTAGCCTTTCAGTAATCGTTTTTCTAAAAAATGTTCTGCTGAACACTTAATTCTTTTTTTGAATTACCTCTGCATAGTACTTTTCTCAATCTTGGGTTCCACTAATTTATATTCATGGGGCTAAATACGTGTTCAATAGTGTGCAGCTTTTTCTGCTTGTATATGAATGCTTGCATTTCATGGAGAGAAATCCCTGTAACAGAGGGGGGAGAAAGAAAAGGAAGACTTACAGGGGCTGCATCACTTCAGTTTTTGACATGCTCCGTGCTGGTGCTTTTAGGTCTGGTGTGGAGCGCTTGGAAAAGACGTTCTCCTCGGGTATGTTCATGCACTGCTGCTGTTCCACTTCAGCTGCAATGCCATCAGGTTTACCTGGCAAGCCGGCATAGTGACTATTCATGTAACTTTGCAATGAGGCAGATCTGGATCGAGACAGAGAGTCGGGCTTAAGAAGGGAAAATGCTGAGCCCTTGATTGTACGAACCTATTTGCATTGAGCTCAGCAGTTTAATAGTAGGTGGCTAGAGTATGAAGTATCACATGATGGGGAGTAGATGAGGAGTTCCCTGGCTTTGTTTATACTGCCAGACCTGTGAATTCAGTCATTCACATTAATCCTATTGTGAACATACAGATCTAAATGTCCTCCAGTGTGTGTCCCATTTAGTATGGCCCGTTAGCCCATGACTTCCCTGACTTCCCTACCATCTGGTCCTTGGCTGTAGAGAGGAATTTTTCTTGTATATGTGTCTCCAATAGCAACGAGTTTGCAGTTGATATGGAAAGCAAGCAGTTGCCCTAGCAACGGAGTTACTGATGTGGCAGCTTCTCTGCTTGCAGGGAAAGGGCTAAGCTAGTTCAGACCCATTATGTAGGTTTGCTGTAATTATAGCTGCGCCCACTAGTGCTGCTCTAGCTGAGGGTCTGTTGAAAAATTTTGTTACAAGCCCTATCTTTCCCCCCCCGTTGAAGGTTTGTTTTATTCCTGTAGGGATTCCTGAGTTGAGCAGAGGCTGGTAGGATTGTATTTTCAGGGCATGTGGTACATCTCTGCCTTTTATGAATGCAAACTTTCTTGATCGTTATTATTAAACGAGTGGATGAGGGGAAAGGCTGTTTGACCTTGCTGGCTTCTCTAATTTTTTTTGTCTCAATGAACAGCCCACTGTTAGAGGAGCTGGGCTGGGGGTCTCGTCCCATGCTCCTTTCTGCTATTCTGCCATCTTTCCCCCATCTGTGCTTCTTCAGGCATCCATCCTATCAAGAGGGTTCCTCTTTGTGTCTGCTCTGCGTTGTCTGAGATAGGCAAACGCACGCATGCTCCTGGCTGTGTGCATGCTGAAGAAATTCAAGTCTCTTAAACGTTTGTTTGGCACTCGTACTGAGGGACGTCTTAATAAAAATGTAATGAGGGTAAGGGATATGTTTATGGGGACAGGAGAAGAAGATTCCCCTAGCTTGATGTGGAAGTTATTCTTAGAAGTAGATGGTCCATAACTAGGTCATGGGGATCCAGCCAGGCTCCTCCTTCGTCTGGGGCAGGCTATGAGATCTAAGGTCTCCTGAGTGGTCCTTGGGCTCTGCGAGAGTCAATATCTGACTTGTCCTCATCTAGTGCATTGTCTCACCTAAGGGCTCTGCCAGGGCAACAGACGAGAGCTGTGGGGGGACCCTTTGGGTACAGGAGACTTTTCAGAACTCCCTCCTGCAAGATCTTTCCTTTGCTGTGTTAATGTCCAGCCTTCCGACAGGTAAACCCTTCATACCTGCAGAAATACCGTTGGAATGAGAGGAGAAGGAGCCTGCTCTTTTTTCCTTAGAATCTCCTAATTCAATCTGCATATACACAAAGGTGAGGGATCAAGGATCCTGTTCTCCCTCTTTAACATTATTGTTCAAGAAGATCTCCTGTGAAAGCATGGTGGCACTCTGGGAATAGAAATGATCTCCTCCATTTTTAATACTGTTATCACCTAGACTGACCCAGATAACACCAGCACCAAAATTTCACCATGTTCATAACATTTGGTGGAGGTAAAGTGCAGAAAAAAACAGCAGCAAAACAACCTGAGATTCATGTTAAAGACTTCAGATAATGTTGACTCCATTAATAAAATAATGTCCTAAATAAGTGGTCCAGCTGTTAATTTCCCAAATTGTTAATAGGAGATGTTGTCATTTTAGGCTGGAATTCATCTAGTTTAAATCCATTTTTTTAATACTCCAGTCTGTCATACTAAAAAGCTGTCTAGTATCAGAAATGTTCTCCTCAAATTGGTACCTAGAGAAATGAGGGTTGTCTTATTCCAGAGCAATCATAAAAGTTTCTAGAACTGTGCTGTAACATGTAGCTTCCAGATACCAGAAAATTTATGGAGAGCTTCTCTTGAAC